CCCCCTCCCAACTCAGTCGGGTTTTTTTTCACACTCTATATCTCTCTTGCTCTATCTGTACCCCCCCCTCCCCCACTTCTTTCTTTATGTTCCATCTGCCATCTTTTCCTCCTCCTCTCTTTCTCTCCACCTATCTGTTCAAGTTCAAGCACCATACATTGTAACATTATCTCTTCACTTAAATTGTTCTCCGAACGCGAACCGACCACACAAAGGTGTAAATTGTAAAGTTATCTACTTTACAGAGATAATAGAAGGAGGCCCAACGATCAAACACAATACATGTAGTAATGCAATCACGTTCCTACTTCAAACACCAACACGTTCAGGCACCGACACGCCCACTCTGCGGTATGTGTGACGGGTCATTCTAGGACAACTTTTTTTTTAAGTACAAAGAGTTTTACGGCACTTGCAACACAATACCGGTAATATAAGGTCATATAAAGTGCCGAAGATTAGAGGTACAAATACAACGTGTTACAAGAGAGTACCAAACACACACACAAAGGAGGAGGGGAGATAAAGACGATAAAGATGTTAGATAGGAAAGAAGAAGCAAACCACACCAAAGCACCCCCCAACCACCCACCTATGACAACTGACCCTCGTAACATAATCACGAGACGACGACCTTCGGAACAAATGTCACAGCGGCGATACAGACAGATCATATCTAGAGTCAGTGTTGTCTCTTTTTCTTCTTGTTCTTAGGTGCGACCTTCCAACGAACAAAGACCCACACGTAGACCTACTGACAAAGACAAAGAACCCCCCAAAAAGAGACAGATAATACGGGAATTTGAACAAATGATTGAATACATTGTTTAATTGATTAATTACATTATTAAAAAGAAAGAAAAGAATGGCTTTATCTGTATCATTGTCTAGATTTTTGGTTCCTACAGTTATCCTTGATCCGTGTCTGTCCGTGGTGTAGCAGTTAGGAGTTAGATGCTTGGGCTTTGTGTGCGGGAGACCTGAGTTTGATTCCCGAGTGGCGAGAATTTTTACATGTATCGAGTATCTGTATTTTTCTACAGGGATGTTGTATCCCTCTCAGCCCGGGCTGGTCCTGACAGACAGGGTCAGAAGCCCGCCCCCTAAATGATCTATGCTGTGTCCATGTTCGTGGAATGACCGCTTTGTCCTTGGGTCTGAGGAGAACAACTACAATGTACCCAGCCGCCTCTATACAACTCTATAGTATAGTCTATTGAGTGGTTAAAAACTTCGTGGCGTAACTTATCCTCAAATATAATCAGCTCTTCAACCGGTGAATCAATGTCACTATTGTTACCCATACTTTGCACAGCAGTTTGTAGCTTTGTCTTAGGCCTAACTGAATATTTTCCACAATAATAGTAATAGGCTAGATTAAAAAAACGTTTCTACGTCACAGCTCACCAGTAACAGTTTTTAGTGGCAAAACTTGTTACGAGAAATTAATTTTTTAGCGAACATATTTTTTTGCACTAAACGTGCTCAAAATATGCCCTCAATAAGCATTACTTCATTAGGCCCAAGTCGTGATTAGAAAAAAAATTACAGTCTTGCTTTTAAATGCGATATTGCCCTTGCTGCAAACCTTTTCAAATCTGTAGTCACTCTTTTGTTGGCATTTTTTAAAAATCAGGCAGTAGATCTAGGCCTACTACACTGTATTTGATTGTTTTACTCTAGCAAGTGCTTACAACAATATTGATACATGTAATGTGTTAAGGCAAGTTTGATACAAGTCATTGTGCGAAATATGGAGAGTCTGAGTTCGATATATAGGAGATATTTGACAGTTGAATAAGTTGCGCCACGAATTTTTGACCGCACTGTAGTCCCCCCCCCCCCCCCCACACACACACACACAGTGGGTGTCACGTGACAGCAATATTGGGAGAGTCACAACTTCCAGAGGTGGGCTGTCAGTTCAGCTGATACTTTTACTGATAGCATGCCGAGCGATGGCTAAGGTATTAATGATCCTGGTTCGAATCCCCATATGTCGTTCTGTTCTTGAACAGGGAACAATAGCTCAGTTTTCTAAAACAACCTTCATCAGTTTCTCTTGACATCGGTGCTCGCACCTAGCATTCGTCTTTCTGCACCACCACACAGATCATTGTGGTGAAGGGGGGGGGGGGTTAATGAAGCAGGTGTTCTTACACCCGACATTGGCATTATAATTTAAATTTAATCACTTCGATAGAAGGTGGCTTCACCCGAGTTTGATTCCTGAGTGGGGAGAATTGAAATTAGTACAAATGTATCCCCCCAGTCTTACTTTCTGCTGGGATGTTTCATCCCTCTCAGCCCGGGTCGGCCCTGACAGGCAGACAGGGATGGCCGCCTCCTAAATGATCTCAACTGTTGTCCATGGGGGTGTGGGCCATCTTATCCTACCGTCATACTGTATCTCAAACCTTTTTCGTGAGAGTTTTACGGCACTTGCAACACAATAAGGTCATAAGTACCGAAGATAAGAGGTGTTACAAGGGAGTAACAAACACAAAAAAAGGAGGGGAGATAAAGACGATAGATGTTTGATAGGAAAGAAGAAGCCAACCACACCAGAGCACCCACCAACCACCCACATCTCAAACCTCAAGCCCTTTCTCTATACTGTATCTCATCTTCCCAAAAACACCAAACAAAACAATTCTGAAAAAAATAAAGTAATCCAAACAACAGTAAAAAAATGCATCAAATTTATTCAACTTCCCAAATCTTGAGAAACATTCAGCAACATGTCACCAGCATTGAGACCCATCTCCCACAA